TATATTAATCATTTAATAGAACAGTTGGATAATTTACTGCTCTCTTTGTACTGCTCTCTATAGCTGTAGCGAATTGTTTATAAATACAATGGTATCCCGTTATAAGGACCCCACTTATAGCACCCGTAATTGAGACGAAAATAAGTAGCTATAGCGTCATCCGGCCTAACGACGGCCCTTATAATCGTTTTCTACTCTCTCACTGTCATTCTGTTCTCTCTCTCTTCCTCTCTCTCTCTCTCTGATGCTTTCTACCTCTTTTATAGTTCAATAATCCACGCAATCTTTTCCTAGTTCTTTGACAGAGCCTGCTCCAATCACAGAACATCATTTGCCTTTGCAGAAAATTAACTCGTTATCGTCGGAAGTAAAAGCAGAGACTAAATCCCCTTCAGCTTCCGTATGTCAACAGCCACTGCATCACCTTAAGCAGTTCTCTGCTTCTCTATTCCATCACTTACCCACTTTGTTTTAACCATTCTCTATCTCATCTAAGCCTCCTCTAGCAAAAAGTGTTTACAAGTTTAAAGACTTTTTTTGTCCATTCTCTACAAAATGTTTGTGCCCCAGTTCTAATCAACTTTTTTCGAGCTCTTTAGCCCTGCATTTGCCTAGCCATAACTTCTATTACTTTGCTCGTTAAACAAAATAAAAGCCAACATTTAAGTTCACATCCAAAAACTAATGTGACACAACAATTTGGAGCGCAGCTCGGTTGAAAAACGATTTCATAAATTTGGATAAGTTTTTTTTACGCATTTATTTGGCTTGAGGAATGTGCGCTGTGTAGCCATAATGTCGAATGCAACTGCTGCAGTGGCAGCGGCGGCAGTGGCAGCCGCAGGAGCTACAGCTAATGCCACACGCCTGAAAGCATGCAACACTTTTTGCACCTTTTGGCAGCCAGCCGAACCCCGCCCGCGGCATCCCTTGCACCTTTGATTTATGCGTCGCGATTAAAAAATGAATTGTGGCACTTTCGACAGGGAAAATGGTCACGCCCCGCCCATCATTTTGTTGTTGCATGCAGCACGTGCGGCACGTAAAGCTCAGCCTCAGCCCCTCTTTGCATATGCCAAAAATGCAAGCTGTGCCAGCTTATGGTCAGCTGCCACCGCGTGCACCCACACGTTGGCCCATCTCTCACACTCCCTCTCCCTCTCTCACTGTGTCTCGCTCGCCCTCGTCCTTTGTGGCTTTAATATGAAAAAAGTTTTGCGCATATTTGTTGAAAAATAGTTGACGTGTGTTGCCTGCCTGCTGTCTGCCGGCTGTGGCTTGGCAGGATGCCCGCCGGAGCATCACGTCCGTTCAGCCCGCTCCAAACGTCACCCAAATGAACATAAACTCAATTTCTACATTGGTGGGAGGGGCAAGTGGAGGGAGGCGCGCGCTAAAATTATAGTTCTATGCCTGGCAATTTGTTTTATTAATAAAACGCATATCAAAGTGCAAAATCCACTCGGGCAACTTTTGCGACACCAGCAGGAGCAGCAGGAGGTTGGCGTCCTTGAGGCGACTCGACGTGCAGCTCGCAGTTCGCTTTAGACCGGGAAATCACGTCGACAGCCAGCAGACAGTCAGGCGACGTCTAATAACCTTTTAGTCTAATAGCTTAACCCAGGACACACACAGAGAAAAAGAGAGAGAGAGAGGGACAGAGGGATAGAGGGCGTCTGAGTGTGACCGGCTTTACATTTCACGGCAAATCCTTTACGCCTAAGACTCATTCATGCGGCAAATTGATTTAGGCATAAACAAGCTGCCGGCCCATGAAAATATGAGAGTGCCATATAATTTTTGCTGCCCGAATTTGATATTGTTTGGGTCCGGGGCCAACGCACGGCGCCTCAATCAGCATCCGTTTGCCAATACTGTTGTGATATTTGGGAGTCCAACTCTTTTTGGAGCGTGAGCGTGGGCGTTGAACCGCAGCTGACGGCACGATTTGGATTTGGGTTAGGGATCACAGCTTTGCTCAAACACGTCTCACCTCTCTCTCTCTCTCTCTCTCTCTCTCTCTCTTCCCACATTTAAGTCAACAAACTAACAACAATAAGTGCAAAGACAACAACATCTGAGGCTGCCGCTGCTTCTGCTCCTGCTGCTGGCTAAGCAAACACCAACAACAACAACAATAACAAAAGGTGCCGCAAAGGGTTGCCCAATGCTTGGGGTCGCTTTGAGTGGATGCCCAACATCTGGACGAAAAACAAATTAAGCAGTTATTTGGGGTTTTTGGTCGCCACACACATACATACACACACTCACACACGCACACACACTTTATGAGCTTACACACCCTTTTTGGCAGTTAGCCTTGTCATTTGGTCTGGGGAATTAAGGCGTCGTTCATTAAAGACTCGACTGATAATAGCGCATGAGTTGGCCGTATTTTATACGAGTTGTCC